CAGTCAGGGAGCTGCCCAGTGGAACATGAATCACTCAGAGCAGCTATGAAATGCAGCCTGGGCTTAAATCAGGGTGAGATCAAGCAGAGGGAGATGGGGCAAAGAAGGCACCACCCCTAGCCCAACTTTCCACCTCTGCCTTAGGAGCCGCCTCTCTGGGAACATCCAACTTAATCTCGACCCTACTGTGATTTTTCTCTGAAATGTGTACGTCATGTGTGTTCACATGTGTGAGTGTGTGGATGGGGGAATGCATGTGCTTGTGGAGGCCAGAGGACAGCTGGATCTCATCCTCCGGAACTGTCTGCTTCCTTTAAGACAGGGTCTCTCATTGGCCTGAACTCGCCAATTAGACCAGGCTGGCCAGAGAGCCCCAGCCTCCTGCCTCTGCTTCCTCAGTGCTGGGGTTACAGACCTGTATTACCACACCTGGCAGGATGGGATTCAGACCCTCAAGCTTGCTAGCCGAGTGCTTTAGCCACCACATTATCGTCCCAGCCCTGACTGGGGTCCTAATATGCCCTCCAGGGAGGGATCTGAGGTGCAGTGGAGGGTGGAGGATGAGATGCAGAGACCAGCACCTTCCCTCCTCCTCCCTCTACATGTGTTTACTGAGCTCCAGCCTGTAGCATGCTCTCTTGGGCACTAGACAAACCATGAGCAACAGAGACCCAAAGCAAACTCCTGCCTGAATCAAACCCAGTTGTCTCATGGGGAAGATGACAGGTAAGATAAAGAAAGAAAAGTCAGCAGAAGTTTAGATGAAGGGGGGGGAGCGTAAGCAGAGGAAGACTGAAGGAACTCACCCTTTGAGGAACCTAACAGGAAGTGGGGGAGGGGTGTCCATGTCTGCAGAAGACCTTCTAGGAGCATGGGTGAGTGCAGGTCCTGTGGCAAGTGCCTGGAATAGTGTGAATCTGGAGGAGACTTGGTAGCTGGAGGCTGAGCACAGGGGAGATGGGTCAGGAGGTGATGAGAGCCTCTGTGGGCTACAGAGCACCCAGCCTTCCTGAGGGAGACGGGTTCTGTTGAAAGACTGAGAATGTATACACACTGTAATTGGAACTTTCTGCTGCCTGCCCACCCCAGCATTACTTTTGTTTCATGGTGATGCAGCAAGTGATCTTCTCAGCCCCTGTCCAGAGTGAGGGGTATCTGGGATTCTTGAGCTCTCTGGGCATTGGGATGTGAAGAAAACTCAGAGAAGGCAGAGCCTCACCCCTTCTGGGGTGACTCAGAGCTGCAATTACCTGGGCTCCACCCACCCCAGAAATAGATTGGAGGCAACGGAGCTCTGAAAGGCTGGTCCTGACTCAGCAGGAAGGTGCGTGGCTGAGGCTGCATTCCTAAGGCCTGAGCATTGAGAGCTGTCACCACAGTGGCCAAAGCCAGGGCCACCACCACTGACTCCAACAAACAGGTCTGTGGAAGGACATATGTCAGCTTGCATGTCTAGATTTAACAGAAAGAAGAATGCCGCCAGGAGCACCTGCCGTGCCAGGACTGAAGTTTAGGGTCTGCCTAGCCTTCAGGGTGACTTGGAGGCCAGCCTGGGTGACTGTGAGAACATGGTCTGTTTCACAGCAAAAAGAGGACTGACAATATTGCTCAGTGGTAGAGCACTGGCCTAGTATGCATAAGTCCCGGGGTTCCAATGCCAGCACTGCTAAAAGAAATAACTAAAATACAATGAAGAAGGAAGGAAGAATGGGCCGCCCTCTCTGCCTTCTGCATGGGCCCTTCAGACCGGGGGTGCTAGGTCAGAAGCCTATGCAGTAGAAACCCTATTGATGTAGCAGGCCATCAAAGCAGTTCACGCTGCCAGCTTTCTGGGAGCGTGCCTGGCCCAGAGCTGAGCCGCAAAGGCAGTTCATGGCAAGGGAGAAGGCAGGTCCACGTGGAAGCAGCCGCCGGCCTGGGCTGACTGGGAGGGGAAGCAAGTCTCATTCAATGGTGGGGCCAGGCAAGGGCTTTGCCCTGCTTTCTGTGTGTGCAAATATTGTCTCTTGTTTTCAGGGCTGCAGGGTGAGGGTGGGGAGTGTTTGTGCAGCACCGCCCAGCTTTGTTCTATGACTGGCAGCTGGTAGGCAGGAAGACAGTCACATATAATGGGCAGTGGCCAGCTTTTGTTATCTGCCCAGATTGCCCTGAGAATTCTCTTTACTTGGCACTGCTGTTTGCAGCTGGGTGGTGAGGCACAGGCCAGAGGAGGATTTCCTTTCCTATTCCCTAAGTTGCTGGCTCTATATTTTCTGATTCCTTCACTATTTTTCTACCTAGAAAATGGGTTCAGGTTTCAACTCCATCCCAGCCTCCATGGGGTGGTTTGTTGTAGCCTCCAGAAGGCCAAATCTAGCCAGGCAGTGGTGACACCTGCCTTTCCAGTATTTGAGAGGCTGAGGTAGGAGGATGGTGAGTTTGAGGCCAGCCTGGGTTACAGAGCCAGACATGAATCAAAACAAAGCAAAATACCAAACATTTAGATTCCAAGCAGAGACCAAGCCTGAGATAGCGTGTTTGATCCTGGCAGAATAGGGGGTTTCTCTGTCCCCTGGGGGCACACCCTGCCCCACACACCCTGTCCAGGCTGGGGCCTCAGGGTACATGTCCAGCACCCACTTCCCCATATGTAGACCTCTGCTCCATTGGCCTGGGGCTGCTTCTGAGACATCAAGCTTGGGATGGGGTGCCCTTGTTGATGGGCTGGTTAGCCTGTCACACCCTAGTTTTGAGAGGAGCAAGATGAGCTCTCCCCAGCTGCTGAGGCCCTGTGGTACCCAACAACAGACAGCTCTCAGGGTATAGGAAAGACCTTTTCCCTGGGGTGGGTGAGAGAGACAGGTGGGGCACTTCCCTTCCTCCAGATCTTCTGAGATGCCTGCTCTGTTTTTGTTTTTGTTTTTTTAGGATTTATTTTATTTTTCATTAAGTGTATTCATGTGTGTGTGCAGGTACCTGTGGAGGCCAGAAGAGGGCATTGGATTCCCCTGGAACTGGAGGGGGAGTTGTGAGCTGCTTGATGCAGGTGCTAGGAACTGAACCTGGGTCTTCTGTGAGAGCAGTACACCCTTTTAACTGCTGAGCCATCTCTCCTGCTCCCCATACTCTTTTTGAATTGAGGTGAAATTAACATTGGATATGTTAAAGTGACTTAAGTTGCTGGCATGGTGTTATGCAACTTTGTATCTAGTTCTCAAACAAGAAAACTCACTCTCCCCTCCCTCAGCCCCCAGCTTCCAGAAAGCTACTTGCTGCCTCTAAGGGTCTGCTAGTTCTGTGCAAAGCAGTGCACCACGTGCTCTTCTGTGTTTGGCCCTTTTCCTTAGCCGCCTGATTTCATGGTTCATCTGTGGTAAAATGTGCACTGGGGCTTCACTTTTAGGGCTGAGTAATATTCCCCACTGTGGGTAGAGTGCATTTCTTGTGCACTTTGGTCACTTGAGCCTTCTACTTTTCAGCAATTGATCAAGAACTGTGGTGCTCCTGACACTCATGTGGGAGTAGTTACTTGAGTTCTTACTTCCTGATTCTTTGGGGTCTATACCTCGGAGTAGAATCCCTATATTGGATGGTAATTCTGTTCTTAGCCTTGTGAAGAAATGCCAGACTGTTCCAGGTGCGTGTGTGTGTGTGTGTGTGTGTGTGTGTGTGTGTGTGCAAGCAAAGGCTGGAGGTCAGCATTGGGTGCCTTCAGTAACTCTCACAGAACCTAGAGCTCTGGTTTCAGTTAGGGTGGCTGGCAAGTGAGCTCTAGAGAGCCACCTAACTCCATTCTCCTCTTTCCCAGCACCTGGTTATCAACACACCCAGCTTTTATATGGGTGCTGGGACTGGAACTCAGGTCTTCATGCCGTCGTGATGTGCATGTTACTGACTAAGCCACCATCCACCATCCATCCAGCACACTGACTACTACGTTGAACTCACAGCCATTGTCTCCTTTCCTTGCCTTTCCTCCATAGCACACACTGTCTTGTTCTAGAACACTGTGACCCATTGTCACATAAATCATCCTCCGAATCCAGAAGAGAATGATTCCTGAGTTCCTGTCTATAACATGGTGATGTGTTTGCACAGAGCCTGTACCCCTCCCCCAGAAACATCAACTGACTCTAAGTGACTTGAAGATCTGATTCAGGGCCACATGATGTTACTGGTTCTGTAATGTGTTGTTAGATTCATGGGTGTTGCGTGTGCATACAGAGGGCTGGCTACACTTGCATGGTGCGGCACCATGTTCAGTGTCCGTGTGATGGAGCTCCTTCCTTTACCTGCTTCTCTGACTTCAGGAACTTTATCTCTCTTGCCCTCAGCACTGCCTATAGTGGTGGGAACACAGCCTGCCCCATGGCTGATGCTGAGCCCTAGGGTTTGCAGTGATTGATGTTGGTGAGGTGGAGATGGACATCTGTATGGTTTTTTTTTTTTTTTTTAAAGTTGTATCCAAGGGGGTGGAAAGAATGGAAGAGCTGGAGAGAGGGGTGGAGCAGTATGCAATGCTGACTTGGGGACCCAGCATGGTGGTTGCATTCTTGAGCTCCCAACAGTAGCAATAACCCACCCAAGATTGCGCCCTTCAACATCCTGTCATGGAGGGAAGGCCCTACCCATCCCTGAAGATCTACAGATAGTCAGTACTGCTGGGGAAAGAGAGATGCTGTCTTCAGTGGTGTAGTCACTGGCAAGGTGCCCATGCCCCTGTAAACAACCCTAATGAAACTCACTAGGTCAAAAAAGTAAAAACACAGAATGAAAAAGAAGGGGGTTGAGAAAAGGATGGGAGGCGGTGGGTGTGGGGGGCCGAGAAGAGGTATGAGTGTTAATGTCATGTGAAACTAGTGTATGTTAATAAAAACATGTTTTTAAAAAGTCACAGGCACAGGGCTGGGCGTGGCAGGGCTGAGCCCCAGACAGGCAGGCATGTGACTGTGCATGCCAAGGGGACAGGGATGCAGAGATGAGGGAGCAGATGCTGGAAAGATGCTCCTTAACTCCCACACTCCCTTTGAATATATGATCCTCGCCACCATCATTGCGAACTGTATTGTCCTGGCCCTGGAGCAGCACCTCCCAGACGATGACAAGACCCCAATGTCTGAGCGGCTGGTGAGTGCCATTACCCTTGAGCGCCCCTGGTGTAGATGGTGGAGGGCAGAGGGATCTAGGTCCTGGCGCTGGGAGCTGCCTGCCACCCCACCCTTAAACCCAGTTGACCTGGTGTCCACAGGGAAAGGACAGTGGAGCCACATTGTCCCTGAAAGCATCACATCAAATAACAATTAGTATTTTCTGTTTCATAGAAACAAAATCTTTGCAAAAAAAAACCCCTCAGCCATATATAAGCATAGACATCAGGGCAATGAGCCACTGTGAGCCCGTTACCCAGATTCAGTCATGAAGGCCTTGCCACATGCGCTGTTTCTGCCCTGTGTTTCCTTCCTTGGTTTATCTTCCTTGGCAGAAGTATTCTAAGACAATCCACAGTCAACAGATCCTTAAAATCTGCATAATTAGCCAGATGTCTCACTTTGCCGCATGATGTTTTTATACCCAGCACAAGTATCAGCAGCTCCTCAGAGCCAGTCAGTATTCAGAATTCCAGCATTATCTCAGCCACATCATTTTACAGTTGCTTTGTCCCACCAAAAGCCAAATATGGACTGGATTTGTTTATTTATTATTGATTGTTTTACAGTGTTAGGGATAAACCCAGACCCACACATATGCTAGGCCAATACTCTACCACTGAGCCACATCTCCAATCTGTCACTGGGGATTCTATGCAGGTGCTGTATTACTGAGACATGCTCTGGCCTTCATGATCTTCCCCAAAACAGCAGTCATAACTCTAAGTGTATGAGATCGGGATGGCAGAATCCATTTATTCCTAACCCAGGAAGTGTGGGTAGCTTTTAGTTTCCATCACAGTGACACAGTACCTGAGAGGGATCATCCTCAAGGACACATTTATTTTGACTGACAGCTTCAGTGGTCTCAGCCTGTGGCTGCTGTCCCATCACTTGCACCCATAATAAGGGAGGACATCATGGCACAAGTATGTTGTGCTATAAAGCTGCTCACTGTCCACTGGCAGAGAGACAACAAAGAGAGAGACAGAGAGAACGTAGAGGAGCCCTCATCCCTACAATGCCTTCAAGGGCATGCCTTGTATGACCTCACTGCCCCTCACTCACCCCACTTCTTTAAAATTCCACCACCTATATGGAGTACACCTTCAGCACCTGATTTTGGGGGCAGATCAGAGTGAAAGTTTCTTATTCCAATGCCTGTGTATAAGTGTGTATTCTTGAAAATATAACCAGCCCGGCAAGCCTATGATTTGAAGATGTTTTGTTTTTGCTTAAGATGAAACTAAGTAAAACCATGTATTGAAAGGGATATAGAACTGCCAGTGGCAAGCTCATACAGACAAAGATTATAGCCACGTGCCTCAGGAGGCTGAGGCAGGAGGATCGCAGTTTCAAGGCTAGCCTGGACTACATAGAGAGACCCTGCCTCAAAAAAAAAATAAGAAAGAAAGAAACGAAATTCTAAAGACAGGTGTGCAAACAATGGACATTTGAGCCAACAGACCCACAAGTCCACTCGGGTTTCAGCTGTGTAGAATTTACATGTTAATTTCCGCCGGTCAGATGCAGTGGTGGCAGGCTGGGTTCTGAGTAGTAGCCACAGGGTCAGGTGTAAGAGGCTGGCCAGGGGTACAGCCTTGAGGCTGTGGAGCCCTCATGAGGCACATGCAGGCCAGTGATCCCAGCTGAGCGTCCCTTAGCAGAGCAGCTCCCATCTGTGTTGCCCACCAGCTCAGCCTGTTTTGACAGCTGCAGCGACTGGAATTCCTTTCATTTTATTAAGTTAGGCTGGTGGCCACTGTACTGGATAACACAGGTCCAAGCAGAGAGTTCTACTTGGCAGGGTGGTGTGTGAGACTAGCCTAAAAGAAGGAAGAAAGATGTCTTTCTAGAGGCTTCTGTGTCACTTTCAAAAGCTTTAAAGAGCTCCAGGGGTAAAGTGAGGGAGAAGGTCAGAAGTGGGGGGGGGGATTGAAAGGTGTACAGAGCTGGGTACCTGTCTCTGGGTGCCCATGTCTGGGTGTGGGGAGCTGGATACCCATCTATGGTGGGCCCTGGGGTCTCTACCCATGCCACTGATGCCCTCTCTCCCTGCAGGATGACACAGAACCATACTTCATTGGAATCTTTTGTTTTGAGGCTGGAATTAAGATCATCGCTCTGGGCTTTGCCTTCCACAAAGGCTCCTACCTGAGGAATGGCTGGAATGTGATGGACTTCGTGGTGGTGCTAACGGGGTAAGAGGGGACTTCAGGGTCTTGGGGGATTTCACAGCTTGGTTAGCATCATGGCAGCTTGGCTGGCAAAGTGTATGTGTAGCCCAGGCTGGGCTTGGGGACCTGCACTCTATGTTGTCTTCACCCTGCCTCCTCTGCATCTTAAGTCATGTATTGCAGTGGGTGCTGTCTGCTGCCATTAAAATGATGGCCTCTTGTAGCTTCCGTGGTGCCTCATACACATGTTTGTGTAGTTCTCACAGTAACTCAGGATAGCAGGAGACACCCCATTCCCAGCCCACTGCCTAGGAAGGCTAACCAGAGTCACTTGGCTCCAATCAGTCACCTGCCACGCAGTAGGGCTGGGATTTAAACGTGTGAATGGGGGTACCGAGGGCCCTCCATGTGCGCATGTCTTCCTTTGCTTGGAGATGTACTTTTATTTCATCGTGATGACTGTGTTGAGGATTTCTGGGTACTAGGGATCATGGTTTGGACTTTAGACAGGTTCTGCCCATCTTTAAGAGCTTTTTGGACCTGGATACAGGGAATGAAACCATAGTTGAAAAGTGATGTATATACATAGTTTCTGCCAGAGGCAAGTATGAGGTGATGTTAGCGCTGCAACAAAAACTCTCAGACAGGAAATGACCAGCACAATAGACTCTCATTTGCCACTCACTAAAAGTTGTTGCTAGTTTATGCTCTTGTGTCCTCCAGTGATTGACAGGCCAGAGCTCTTGCCACATTGTGACTTCTCACTGTCAACCCAGCTTTCCCCAGCCTCCATATCTGTTAGTGTTAAAATACAGAAGGTAAATAAACATTGGGGCTCCTGGAACAGTCTGTGGGGCTGGGAAGAACCTGGCCTTTGTCTTCTCTGTTCATACGCTGGTTAATGGGGCTGATTAGTAGGGCCTTGCATGTATGAGGCCCTAGGTTCAATCTCTAGCACTGAAAGAAAAAGCATGCACTGGCTACAGTCCAGTCATGTGGCCATGCATCCTCCTGCAAAGGGAAGTATGAGGTTGTGCTTAGAAGCATGTGGAAGTGAGTGTGGTACCCGTTCTGATTTCATTCTGTTGCTCTGACAAACACCATGACCAAAAGTAACTTGGAGAGGGGGACTTATTTCAGCTTACAGGTCACACTCCATCACTGAAGGATGTCAGGGTGAGCACTCAAGGGGGATCTGAAGCAGAAACCGTGGAGGAAGGCTACTTGCTGGACTGCTCTCAGGCTCATGCTCAGCTGGTTTTCAGTTTTCCAGCCCAAGCTCACCTGCCCAGGAAATGGTGCTGGTCTCTTCCACATCATTAACAATTAAGACAGTCCCCCACAGACATGGCCACAGCCAGTCCAATATGGAAATCCCCCAATTGAGACTTCCCTTCTCAGGTGACTGACTGTAGGCTGTGTCAAGTTGACAGTTAAAGCTGTCGAGAACAGTGTCTGTAGCCAGTCTCTGCAGGGACTTCAAGGACTCTTGTTAGACCCCAGGGTAGATCCAACCATCTGGAGCTGACTCCTGCTCCCTCTCTGCGCTCCCCTGCCCTGAGTCCCTCAGCTGCCATGTTCTGACATCCCTCTTCATCAGACAGCCCCCTGCTCCTCTCTCTGTTGATGCTTTGTCCACCCCAGTGGCTCTTCAGACCTTCTGCTACCCCAGGTCCTGCTGCTTTCAGTGAATGTCACATGTTTTAGTGACTCTCTTTGTCAAACCACTTCAAGGAAGAGGGACTTATTTCAGCTCATGGTTTCGGAGAATTTGTTCCATGGTTGTCAGGCCCCTGTGCTCTTGGACAGAATTCAGTGCTGACGGGTTTGTGGGGGGCTGTTCTTTATAACTCAGTTCCAAGAAGAGTAAGTTGGGGGGCGGGGGAAGACTGCCCGGGGACCCTTTTTCCCTGTCTGGCCCCTCTGATCTTTCACCTTGCCCAGCGATGGCCACATGTTGTGAAGCCGTCAGTCAATCCATTGCTCAGGTTAGGACCTCAGAACCACCATCTCTCGAGTGGTCAGAGACACAACAGAAACACAGGAGATGCGTCCCCAATTGCCCAGCTGCTCCTTTCCCTTTCATTCTGTTGTGTGAGTGTATAAGTGTGCGTGTGCATGTATGTCTACATGAGTATATGTGTGTTAACATGAGTGTGTATGTTTGTGTGCTTGTGTGTATGTATGTCTTTGTATGTGTATGAGCACATGTGTGTGTTTATAACTGCCTATATATGTGAGTGTGTGTAGGTTACTGTGTGTGGATGCATGTACAGGAGTGCTTATACATGTGTGATTGTGTAGGTATGAGTGTGTGTGCATGAGTGTATTTCTGTGTGAATATGTGTATATGAGTGTTTGTGTGTGCTTGTGTGTATTTATGTTGTGAATCTGTGTGCGAGTGCCTGTACATGAGTGCATGTATGTGAATGTGTGCTTGTAGGAGAGCATGTGTACATGGTTGTGTGGTTGCATATATGTGAATGTGTACATGTTTGCATACATGTGAATGTGTGCATGTTAGTGTTTGCTTGTGTTTGTGCATCCATGTGTCTGCATGAGTGTGTGTGCATGAGTGCATGTATATGAATGTGTGTATAAATGTGTTTATGTGACTGCGTGTACACAAGTGCATGTTTGTATGTGTATATGTGTATGCCTGTGTGCATCATACCTGAATGCATATGTGTATGCATGTACATGAGTGTATTTGTAGGTGTGTGTGTGTTTGTGTATGTGTTCCTGCACCTATATGTGCTTGGGTATGGAGGCCAAAGGTCAACCTTGGCCGTCGCTCCTCAGACACTGGTGGACAGTGAGTGTTCTTTGGGACTGTGCATCACGCTGACCTAGAGCTCACTGATAGGCTAGGCTGACTACCCAATGAGCCCCAGATCCCCGTGTGCGCCTCCCCAGGGCTAGGATTATAATCACAGGTCACTGGGCTCTGGGGATCTGAGCTCAGGCCCTCTTGGGTAGTGGGTGCTGACCGACTAAGCTAGCCCTGCCCTTGGGTTTCTTATCTAATCAAGCTGATAATCAAGTTGGCTAGCTCTCACGGTTTAGACCCTGAACATGTTCTTCGTCTTCATAGTCATCATTTTTGTTTTTGTTTCAGGGCAGTATTTGTCCCTAGAGGACACTTCTCATACTGGGCTATATGTACAGGTATTCTGGTGTGGCTGGCATGTCATGAAGACCCTGGGCGAGGCCTACAGGTTGTGTGTTCACTGCATGTCTGCAGTCCTGTGATCTGGGCCCTTGGTTCCTGGGGCCTGAAGTGGCTTCAGTTACTTTTCTCCTCCATTGCTAGAAAGCTCATCTTGAAACAGCCCAGCAGACTGACCATGTTATAAAAATGTATTACAGAAGCCCAATATGGTGGTGCATGCCTTGAATCCCAGCACACCTGGGAGGCAGAGGCAGGTGAATCTTTGTGAGAGGGAGGCCAGCCTGGTCTACATAGTAAGTTCCAGGCCAGCCAGGGCCACATAAAGAGACTCTGTCTCAGAAAACAAAACAAGGGGCTGGATAGATGGCTTAGTGGTTAAGAGCACTGGCTGCTCTTTCAGAGGACCCAGGTTCGATTGTCAGCACCCACGTGGTGGCTAACAACCATCCATAACTCCAGTTCCAGGGTATATGACGCCCTCTTCTGACTTCCAAGGGCATTGCATGACATGGGTGTGCTTACATACATGCAGGCAACACACTCAATAAATAAGATAAACAAAACAGCAAAGGACAATAAAGGAACTGGAATGTAGCTCAGTTGGTAAGTGCCTGCCTAACACACACAAGGCCATGGGTTTGATCCTCAGCACCAAATAAACCAGAGTGATGCTCCTGGGATCTCAGCACCCAGGAGAAGAAGGCAGGAGGACCAGGAGTTCAAGGTGATCTTCAGCTGTGTAAGCAAGTTTGAGGTCAGCCTGCACTACAAGAGAACCTCAATAGATTAGATGGATGGACAGATAGACAGACAGACAGGTAGATAAAAATAATCAGACAGTGGAGCTAGAGAGATGGCTCCGCAGTTAAGAGCACTGACTGTTCTTGCAGAGGACCTGGGTTGGGTTCCTAGATAGCAGCTAAGAGGTGTCTGTAACTCCAGTTCTGGCCTCCATGGGCATTGCACACCAAGGGTGCACTTATATACAATGCTGGCAAAACATTCATACATATAAAATAAAAATAAAGCTTTAAAAAAATCAGACATCCAGCCAGACGTGGTGGCGCACGCCTGTAGTCCCAGCATTTGGGAGACAGAGGCAGGCTTATCTCTGTGAGTTCAAGGCCAGCCTGGTTTACATGGTGAGTTCTAGGACAGCTCTGGCTACAGGGAGACCCTGTCTCAAAAAAAAAAGAAAAAAAAATCAGACATCCAAAAAGAAGAGAGAATGAGGTGTAGGAGCTCCGGGTGGGTTCATTGGGTGATGACCATGACGGGCCCTAGTCTGACTCTGGGACACAGTGCCACACAGGAGGCACAAGTCTTTGCTCTCAGCACATGTGGGGGTGTAAGCACTCAGTAAGGCAGGAGGATTGCAAGCACAAGGCCAGCTTAAGCTACAAATTAAATTAAAATTTAAATGTATATTGCTACTGTTTTGCATGCTTAAATTGTCTTCATACATGTTCTGTTCTGTGGCCCTTTGCACTCTGCCATGTTGGTTTTGGCTGTAGCAAAGTAGAGTCATGGTGGAAAGGCATTGTGCGTCTGGGATGCTCTTGGTGGCCAGGAAGCAGAGAGGTAGGAAGGGCTCGGCGGTGGGTGTACCTTCCAGCTCTACTTTGCAACCTGTTTCTTTAACCAAGACTGCTTTCTACTCCTCAACGCCTCCCCATAACTTCAAATTATGGGTAGATGGGGAGCTCTCCAGGGCTGGAGAGATGGCTCAGCGGGAAGAGTGCTTGCTGTGAGAGCAGGAAGACCTGAGTTCAAATCCTCAAAATCCACAGAAAATCTGGGTGTGCCTCTGACTCCAGCACTGGAACATGGAGACAGGTGCCTCCTGGGAATT